TTTTTTTGCTGTACTTCGAACATGTTCAAACACGTCACGCCAGTGAGAGTAGAGTCCTGATCTCACTTCTGATGTAAGCTTGAGGGTAGACATTATCTTGTTGAACACCAAGTAAAACGATGTCACTTTTTGATTCCTGATTTAATCAACAATATGTTATCTTAACAATTCACTTTAACACTTGTCCGACTTTAACCAGTACGTACAACAGTCACTGAATCACACAACGTAACAAGGATATAGTAAGTGCACCAGGCAAGCGCAGTCCAACGAATGTTCATTGCGAGGCACGTACCGCCTTTTTATACTGGCCGGCGCAGCTGGCTTATTTATGAGTCACTTCTGTTGCACCTGTTGTTTATGAGTCGAACGACACGGCCGGCGCACCTGGCTTGTGTGAGTCACTCCTATTGCACGTGCTAAACAGAAATATCGTTAACGCCGTCAAATATTATTCCTTGTTTGTTGTCTCTAGTAATAATATAAATAAAAAATATAAATAACTTCTCCGAAAAAAAACATAATTCAAACGTATTAAGTAGGTACATATCACGTATATTAACAATTTTGTTTTTTCATTTTCTCCGTGGCGTCTTTGCGATAGGTATCTTAGCTTTCTTTGAAGAATAATCTTCCTACGTTTCTTTTTTTTTCCTACCTATGCACATAGCCTTGAGAAGCTATGTTAGCTTCGCCCTGATATGTACATGAGGTCACGGGGCTCAAACCGGAGTGTTGCTAACACTGGCCCTAACAAGAGCAGTGCTTTGCAGAATCTACCACCGTATCAGAAACGTGACGCACTGAGAAGATCCGGCCAGAAACTCAGTGGGCTGTGTCTATGGGTTAACGCTCGTCGAGCCCTTCGTCCCAAGCGACGGGTTCGACGAGGACGGTGACCGGTGCTTGTGGTACCTAAAGGCATTTCTTGGTTTTTAGTTGGCGTATGTGGAAAAGGTACTTAATAGTAATGTAATTTAATTATAAATTCATAAATTTATGCTTTATCTGCGATGCATTCTTTTATGATTATACAATTGTACTCCTACATGTTTTTGTAACACTATTTTTTGGCCAAGCAAATTTTTTGTCAATGCCATTGAAGTCTAGTTTTAATAGTCAAATTAAACAAGGCAAACGAAAGATTCCCATCACATCAAATTCCATCCCTTCTAGCTGAGCTTTTGCTCACCCACCTATCCTGGTGTAACTGGAAAGGCCTCCGAACCACAAGTTCATTAAAAAAATGCCTAAGTAGTGAAGTATATGATGTCGGGATAGCTTACTCCTCCTTATCAGCCCATCTAGTCGGCCCGGTTACTATCGGCCCAGGAGCAGACGTCTAGCTTAGGCTTTCTTGAGGGGCCCAGGACTCTCGAAGGATGTGTCGGGGGAAATTATGCTTCCTGTGCTAACCGGTTACTCAAGGATCCCCGGCTGCAGGAAAAAACCAGGTCTATATCTAACCAGGGCTTCAAGATGCTCGATAAGCGTCCAAGAATAGGGTCATCCTCAAGATCCCACTCCCACACTTTTAAATTCTGACATAAAAATAAAAATAAAAATAAAAAATTACAGTGGAAAAGCGAGTTTCATTTTGTCCATACAAAAATAATATGCCATTATTTCCTCCCATATTTAAATTGTCAAAATATTTTTATTTCGTGGTGATCTATTTAATCACCGCCATTTTTTATTTGATAAGATATATACGATTTTCTAGGAACCCTTTTAATCTATTCATTAATCAGCTTTCCTTCCGCATTTTCGCTGACGTGAGCTAACCATCACTCAGTAAGTCCCCGGTCTAACATATATTTTTGGACAACATTCTTGACAGCCTCGTGATTTTCGGGTACTACTGACTTTTAAACAGCACGTGTCAAAATTTCAGGACATTCAGATCATTAATTTAGGGGTTACAGTTGTTTACGGATCCCAGTTTTGTAATTTTCAAGACGATGTATAGAAAGGAATTCCGTAATTAATCAATGAAACGCTCGTTTCTTGCGTCAACTTGCATTGCATCGAAACTGACTAAAAACTCAAAAGCAAAATTATGGCATCCGTATAATGAGAATGTTTTACCAGGACAATGCCGCGTGTCACAAGTCGATGAAAACAATGGTTAAATTTGATTATTTACGCTTTGAATTACTTCCCCTCCCACCGTATTCTCTAAATTTGCCTTTCAGCGACTACTGGCTTATTGTAAACATAAAAAAGGAATGCTCCTGGAACAAGCACAATTTCAAAAGCACCTGCAGACTTTTCTCATTATGAATTTATACTGAATTTAACAAAAGCAGAACTAAATTTACCCTTTCACATAACAAATTACAACGAACCTTTATTGAAATTCAAACCCTAGCCAAAATAAAGCTAGTTGCTAATAATTAAAGTACTCAAGTTTTTATTTATTTTTTATATTGCTTAGATGGGTGGACGAGCTCACAGCCCACCTGGTGTTAAGTGGTTAATGGAGCCCATAAACATCCAGTACGTAAATGCGCCACCCACCTTGAGATACAAGTTCTAAGGTTTCAAGTATAGTTACAACGGCTGCCCCACCCTTCAAACCGGCAGAAATAGGCAGGGTGGTGGTACCCCACCCGCGCGGACTCACAAGAGGTCCTACCACCAGTAATTACGCAAATTATAATTTTGCGGGTTTCATTTTTATTACACTATGTTATTCCTTCACCGTGGAAATCAATCGTGAACATTTATTGAGTACGTATTTCATTAGAAAAATTGGTACGCGCCTGAGATTCGAACACCGGTGCATCGCTCAACACAAATACATCGAACGTCTTATCCGTTAGGCCACGACGACTTCAGAGGAGTTAAATGAATAAAACATTAAATTAAGACCCCTAGATCTTTTATATGACATTAACTTCTATCGCCAACTAATGTCGACAACCAGGCGTTTAGAGCACCGCAATTTAGGAAATAGTTCCCATTCTGTCGGACAGTTAATTCATTATTAATATCATAAAAAAATAGACACACCGTCACATATCATATCGCCAAAATGCAATTATTTATTTTTGTTACAAAGAAAAACGGTGTGACGGCGTACATTCATTATTAATTATAAGAACTAATTGCATTAGAACGAAACACCTAAATAACCCTTCATAGCAAACACTTAAAAACTTCTAAATTATTTTCACGGATAATAAAGCATCAACTGTTTGTTTTTAAACGTTAATTTATGAAATTTTACTGTTTTTTCTAAAGTAGCATTTTCTTACGTTGTTGCGTATCATAGACATATAATTAAAACTACTGTTACGGCTTAATCTCACATTTTTATTGTAACACTATTATTTCCGACGTTTGGAATACTTATCTATAACCTTGTCAAAAGTCTACTTCATGTATACTCAGATAAACCAAAATAAAACATACACTTTTAAAATGAATAATCAACAGAGTATATATTTTTCCTCAAGTACCTTACAAAATTAAAAGCTTATACTTATGACCTCGCCAACATTTTTAGTTTGTTTGCGAGACTCTTGGACGTTGATCTACTAAAAAAACGCCGGCCCGGTTTTTTTTTGCCAACATTTTATCCCCACTAGGTATTGCTTTTAGTTCTCGCTTTTAAAACAGAAAATAGCAAGGTATTTAAAATTTATCTTGTAATTCTAACCTTTTAAGAGCCACTTTTGTTCATCAATAAATCTAAATCAAGCAAATTGCAACAATATAATTAATATTATGATTAGATTAAAAATTTTAATGCACCAAAGTATGGTTTTATGGTAAGTGGCATACCGCCTTAAGCTGTCAACACTTTGCTTGCTATTTGTAGGCGCAGAGCGGTGCAACCCTGGAAATTTAAAGACAAAATAAATTGATTATTAAGATCAGCGGCACACTTTCTTTTGAAAATCTTTTCCGATTTCACTAACGTAGAGAGCTTTCTTTAAATATGAAAATGTTGAATGTATTGAATCAGCCCACCTGGCTGAGCCTTTGCTAATCCACCTGTCCTAGTGAAAGGGAAAGGTTTTCGGACCACCAGGAATGCTTCCTATAAACAAAAAAACTTATTTCTGCCCCGAAACATTCTGAATGGTAGATCACCATTATTCAAGATTATTCGAAACAATTGATACTTGCTTGACTTGGTGACGGCTTTGATTTTGATTTTGGGCTCTTTTATTGGTTTAGTACCAAGTGAGCCGTGCACGTGTTCACACATCAAAATATAATCAAAATAAAGAATATCTAAGCAAGTGGTTTTGTATTTCCCCGCCTTCAATGTCTCCCTGTAAGTATCGAGGCATTGTCCAGAGAGACCTACGAAGATGACATTTTGTTGTTCCTACTTAACTCAAAGAAAGGTATATAAGATATTTAAAGAAAGACTGCTCGGTCTTGAGTCATTGAGCGAGAACTATTGATATGCGTTTTGACATATGAAAATGTCAATGCGCACCATATAAAGATACAAGATCATCTGTGGATGATGAAAAAAAGCTCATGTTTTAATTGGAAATTCTTTATTTGGACAATAAAACTAAAATATTTATCAAGCGAAGCTAGATGAAAACGTTTTTCAAGTGCAAATGTTAATTTGAAAATACTTATGGGAAAACTAAAAGATTGTAGTTGAAATAAAATAAAACGTATTTATAATACATAATTACTTACATAAATATTGATACAATATACATTTGAGCACAACTTTACAATTTAACAAAAAATCTTCAGTACACTGAATAAAAGCAAACAAATAAATATAGAATCATTATTTGAATGCGAGATTTTGTCTAACCTTGAACGTATTTGCCTAAAAACGTTATTCATCTGTTTTTAAATTTCATGAACAGCGCGCGAGCATTCACAGTAGAATGCATAAATTTATGCTTCGACTTTTGATTCACATAGCCTGACGAATTAACAATGCCGCGATGAGGTAGGTATGGCGGAGAGTGAACGCTGGACGGCGCGATTGAGCTCAGCATTTTTCATGTGTTTAGTTAGCGATTGTGAACAGTGCATGTCGCTTGTGCCACCGTCGCACCAACTCGATCAGCTGCGTGCAGTGCGCGTTCTTATCAACGACGTGAAGTGAAACGTTTCCGACCAGATAACATTGTTGTACATCCTTCGACACCGCGCCGAGCGTATTGAGCCGCTGTTAACCCAACGAAAACAATCGATATCCTCGCTACATCTTAAACTGGTGGACATAATTGAGTCAAGGTATTGTGTCTTTAAATCTTAATTTATCATAAATACATATGTATCGGTGTCGGCCTGATGAGGGGCACCCCTTAAATATGTATCAGTTAGTTTGTACAAGATACTTTGTAAATGTTGTCCTATATTTGAAAATAGTAACATTTTTTCTATTTTCAATGTTAGGGATTTACTCGTAGAACGAGGGAAGTATGCACACAACATCAGTTTGAATTCATAATTTATGAATTGCTATAAAAGTAAACATTGAGAAATGTATCAAAATAAAATTGTAGGTAGACGGCCCTTTTTTCGGGTAGAGGGCCGAACCTCCTACGAGGTCCCCGCGCAAAAGGGGCGCGCGGGGTATGTGAGACTCAACGATCTGCATGGTGTTGTGAGCAGACCGCGGGCCCAAGGATTTTAGGACCCACCCACTAAACGACTCCCCTGCACTCTTACACCCGACGTCCGATCCCCTCCGAGGTCAGAACCCGGATGAGGTAGGGGGGCTACCGCGGTCAACACTACAACCAGACGGCGCGGCTCACCCCAAGGACGCCCAGCCGACGGAGCCTTCGAGGCGAATCGAAGGCTCTGAAACGTCGGCCGTCTCGGTACGGCAGCCCGTCGGGCCGCCCAGACGGTGCCGCTGGTGTCCCGGAATACCCCGCTGGACCAGAACCAGCCTGCCGGGTCGGGACGCGATACACCGTCGACCGGTCGCTCTATTCACTCCACGGCAGCGCGCTAGAGTGCTGGTAGCGCGCCGCGCGGCCTCACCCCCTCAGGTCGCCCCTTGACCTTCACCGGGGGGAGGCCGCCACCTACAGGGGCCGGGACGTACGGGCGTATTCCCGCCTCCGGCCCCCGGCTCGACGGCGACGGATCGGTGCGGAAAGGGAAGAGCTCTCCCTCTCTCGCTCCGCCGCCTCCTTCTGCGAGATGGTGGACTCGCAGAAGTCGAGCATCGCCTTCCAGGACGCGTCGCTGCCGAGCATCGTAGCCACGACGCGCGGCAGCGAGAGGTCCTCTCCAATGACCGCGACGAGGGCGGCGCGTTGCTCGTCAAATCCAGAGCAACGCGCCAATGTGTGTTCCGCTGTGTCATCCTCGTCGCGGTCAGCGCAGTGGTGGCACTGCGCCGTCGGTTCCCTTCCGGCTATTTTGAAAAGGTACCGGCCAAAACAACCATGGCCGGTCAACATTTGCGTCAGCCGGAAGATAGACGGCCCTAGCAGACCAGTTTTTTAACAGAATAAAATTGTAGGTGTCTCCCTAGCTGATCAGTATTTTTTTTATTGCCCTTGTAGGCAGACGAGCATACGGCCCACCTGATGGTGAGTGGTTACCATGGCCCATGGACTTCAGCAATGCCAGGGGCAGAGCCAAGCCGCTGCCTACCGCAAGCCAGTATCGAGCTTCAAATTTGAAATCAATTTTATAATCTTGATTTGTTTTGAATAGGAAACTTAATTTCGGATGAAAACATGAAACTCGTGTGTGTAATCAGTCGAACCGATCGTTCTCGATGTCACTTCGATCAATAAATACAAACGCTGTAGGCATGTACATATATGATGGTACCTACATCCACGGCCATGGCAAACACTCAACAGTCACCACTTTTGTACATTTGGAAACGAGTAGCTGATGTCACTGAACGCAGACGAGTAACGGTGTTGTTACGTTTAAAATAAATATCTTTTAATAAAGAGAAAACGCAAAGAACAAGCTTTTAAATAAATATAAATAAATAATGAAATATCGAGAATGAAAATTCCAATAATAATATTTTTCCCGAAACTCTATGTTACAACTCTAAATCACTAGTTATGCCCTTTTTATCGCTTAGAAGGATGATCTCACAGCCCACCTAGGGCAAAGTGATTATCAGGGATTTTAGAAATCAAAACGTAAAATCCACCACCCAACTTGACCCACCCTACCTTTTCGCGTTCATAAGATGCCGCACGATTAGTTTCCCTCCCGCCATCGTCAATGTCGTCATTTAAATTAAATTTCAATTTTAACTCTAATCACAGGCTCTTAAAAAGTTCATCAGGAGACGTCAATGTTTTGCATGACACTTGAACGAATAAATAAAAAACAAACAACCACACTTAAGGACAGAACTGTGCCATTGCTTTGCTAATGTCCATGGGTGATAATGACAAACTCTTATCAAGCGCATCGGATGCCCGCCGGTCCATTAGGGCAAAAAAGGAATCACAAAAAAAATCGGCAATTTGGGATAACATTCTATATTTTCACAGAAAACTATTGATAATTTAGCTGAAGTTTAATTTACTAACCACATAGGTATTCCCTTTGCATTATCAGACTTTTGAAATTTAAATCAAACTATTAAAATTAGACAACCTTGATCCTCAGAATACTAAGTAGTTTTTTACTATAATTGGTAATGAAAATCGCAGTTTTTTATTATAAAATGGCTTCGAGTAAGGTCAAAGTTCATTTTTAATGTGAACTCGCAATATCTGTATTTATTGTGACAGATGAAAAACATCTTATTTGCAGTTTCAATAACTTTGACAGTGTGTAATATTCAATTTAAATTCAAAATCCACATGACTTAGTAATAAAAAAAATCAATTGAAGCAAAATTGAGCCTAATTTAAGGTATAATACATTGCATTGCATTTTGTTTAACGTCAGATGGGCCGTGAGGCTTTCTGCTACCTAGAGCCGTAAAAACTGGTGAGGAAGAAGCTGTAGTACTCTATGCAACCCGAAGTTCCTCGGGCCACAAAATTGCACCAGCTGTAAACAGCCGATAGACTATTTTTGGGACCTTTTGGTTCCTGTTTTGTTTCTTTTTGGTAGCCTAGGGGGCTATTCCAGCAACGCCCGGACGGAGTTTTCGCTCCTTGCCTCGAGGCGGTTTAAGTTTGGCGGCATCAAACTTTATGGACTCTAGTAACACCAGAATTGCCGTAAGCTCATATTTCCAATTATAACAAAAACATAAAAATCTTTAGTCTCACTTCTATGACTTAACAACAGCTATTCTATTCTAAAACAAACAGTGCTCGTACTTAATCAACATTAATGAATCTCCATAAGATAACTTACAAAGCTATGAAATTGGAACAAAAACAGCTATTTGCTATGTAAATAGCACATTTACATAGCTTAAAGTTTGAGTCTGTTGAGGTCCCGAATTTTGTTCTGACTTACTAACATCATGAAATAATACGTTTACAACTATACTTTATTTTTTCTACCTAAGCTAGTAACCTAGGGGGTTATGCCAGCGTAACCGGGCGAGTAGGTGAGCTCACGGGGCTCTAACCTGAAGACGTTATTATCACTGGCCTAGCAAGAACTGCGCTTCGCAGAATCTACCACTGGATCGGAAACGCGACCCACTAAGATACGGCGAGAAACTCAGTGGGCTGTGTCTGAGGGTTAATATGCTCGCCGAAACCTTCGTCGCAAGCGACGCGACGGGTTCGACATGAATGGTGACCGGTGCTTGAGATACCTAAAAGCACCGATAGTAGAGGATCCGAAATGACATGTTCGGGGCGATGGCGACTGTTTACCATTCGGTCCGCAGGATCGGGCATGTACTCGTATAGATTGGTACGCCGGTAAGAGTAACGCCATCTGTCGTCGAATAGTAGAAACGTATATCAAAAAACTAGTAATATCGAGAACTATCGCCGATCGCTATCGAAAAATGTAACGCCATCTATTATCAAATAGCGGAAACACATATCGAAACGACTCCGCATATCGGGAATGCTCTCGATGATTGTAGTCTTATTGTGTCGACTATAAAAGCGTTGCAGAGATGACATGAGGACAATTACCCCGACTCACTACCCGCTAAATATCGCGCATCGCCCGGATATACTCGACATAGCGTTATTAAAAAACGTAACTCTGCGCTTACACTCGATCGAAGTAGTTTCAGAGTTAGATTCAGACCACCGTCCCGTCGTTATGAAGCTCGGTCGCGCTCCCGATTCCGTTCCCGTCACGAGGACTGTGGTGGATTGGCACACGCTGGGCATCAGCCTGGCTGAATCTGATCCACCATCGCTCCCGTTTAACCCGGACTCTATCCCGTCTCCTCAGGATACCGCTGAAGCCATAGACATCTTAACGTCACACATCACCTCGACATTAGATAGGTCATCGAAACAAGTTGTAGCGGAGGACTTCCTTCACCGCTTCAAATTGTCCGACGATATTAGGGAACTCCTTAGAGCTAAGAACGCCTCGATACGCGCCTACGACAGGTATCCTACCGCGGAAAATCGTATTCGAATGCGTGCCCTACAACGCGACGTAAAGTCTCGCATCGCCGAAGTCCGAGATGCCAGATGGTCTGATTTCTTAGAAGGACTCGCGCCCTCCCAAAGGTCTTACTACCGCTTAGCTCGTACTCTCAAATCGGATACGGTAGTAACTATGCCCCCCCTCGTAGGCCCCTCAGGCCGACTCGCGGCGTTCGATGATGACGAAAAAGCAGAGCTGCTGGCCGATACATTGCAAACCCAGTGCACGCCCAGCACTCAATCCGTGGACCCTGTTCATGTAGAATTAGTAGACAGTGAGGTAGAACGCAGAGCCTCCTTGCCACCCTCGGATGCGTTACCACCCGTCACCCCGATGGAAGTTAAAGACTTGATCAAAGACCTACGTCCTCGCAAGGCTCCCGGTTCCGACGGTATATCCAACCGCGTTATTAAACTTCTACCCGTCCAACTCATCGTGATGTTGGCATCTATTTTCAATGCCGCTATGGCGAACTGTATCTTTCCCGCGGTGTGGAAAGAAGCGGACGTTATCGGCATACATAAACCCGGTAAACCAAAAAATCATCCGACGAGCTACCGCCCGATTAGCCTCCTCATGTCTCTAGGCAAACTGTATGAGCGTCTGCTCTACAAACGCCTCAGAGACTTCGTCTCATCCAAGGGCATTCTCATCGATGAACAATTCGGATTCCGTACAAATCACTCATGCGTTCAACAGGTGCACCGCCTCAC